TTGTTTTGGCTAATCCTCTAAGCATTGGTAGTGATATCTGTTGACAATTATTTTTAGAATTTAAGGCCAGTGATTGAAGGCACGGTTGTCTTCGGCGTGTGCCTGCCCAGTGGTATAAGTCTCCAAAAAGAGGTGTTCCTACAAAACGCTTCCTCCACTAACAAATATTAGGGAAACGGAATGCATCTCGCGCGTATTACGTAAAAAGGGGTGTCGCCTTTTCTTTTAATGCGGTGAGGGGAAAATAAGCCTTCCTGGCATATTGCAATCCATTCCTCTGCTTTGTCTTCTTCAAGGTATTCGTAATCCCCAAGTGCCCATCACTGGTGCCATTGTAAAATTCCGTCCGGAATTCTGAACCTCTGAACTGCTGTTAAAATGCAAAAGCACCGACAATCTTAGTTTTCGTATTCTCTTTGCCAACAGCCATATATAAACTTTAAACTACTCCATTGGGTCCAGTATACCTTTGCAATTGAACTTTCTGCTGACAATTGTGTGCACTTTCCAAACGACCTGGTCAAAAGGATATACAGCCCTCGTTTTCGTCGAATTTCTTTACAGTGGTGAGTAGTGAAGTCACAGATTTGTAGTCTATCATTACCCTGAGCAAGCTGTCCTTCAGAATTATTGAACTGTAGTAACCACTTCAGCGCTGCTTGATCCGTCCGCCCTCGTAAATGTTGTCCGTACAGATACTTGTTTGACGGAGTCTACCAATGCTAGTAGTTCTCCCGAGTTACGCAGTAGATGTGCTCCGGCTTTCCAAAAGATCGACTATAGTATGTAACTGTCTTCTCCTGTCCATCAATTACCTGTGAAAGTACGCTTCCTATCACATAACCAGAACAAATGTAGCACCTAGCACCGAGTGTGCTGACATAGGCGCAGTTCATAGCCGTTCCTTCAGTACGTGGAAGGCCTCTTTTTGTTCCATGTTCCACTCAAAACCTCTATTTTTTCTGATAAGCTCGTGACAGCTTCTATCTTATCCTGCAAACGCCTGATGGCCTAAGTAATCCACTTTCTTCTTAAATAATGGCCACTTCTTAGAACTTAATTTGAGACCAGCACCAGTTAACCTCTGGAAAACTTCTTCTAAATTGTTTAGGTGTAAATTGCCAAAGACCATTTCTATCACTGTAGGCTGTCTTTTCCCAATCTTACTCACTCAATTTCAATCTTCAATGGCCGTTATTAAGGTCTAGTATTGAGAACAATTTTGAGCCAATCAATGAGTTCAATGTACCATTGATCCTTGGCAACGAAAAACTGTCAGAAGAACCGAACCGAAACTGACTATTTTTCTCCAAGAAAGTTGACGAATCGGCCTTTATCTTCTTCGCTTACTTCCACTTGCCAATAACCGCTCGAGTGTTCAGAATTATTCTTGGCTACGCTCTACGTAGGACCGCAATTGACCATTTTTCTATTTCACAAGCACTACCGGAGAACTCATGGATTTCATGAGTTCAATATCACCACTCAGCTCATTTCTTTCTATACTTAGCTCACAGCTTCATGTTTGGCTAGTGGAACACTTTAAGGAGCTTGGTTAATGGGCCTAGCGTCATCAGTACCAAATGTTTGTTTCCTTCCTTGCCGAATATGTTGGAATATTTGTGGAGAATATGTCTGGTCTTATGATAGTCCTTGCCTTCAAATTCATCAGACCATTCCTCTATGTCTTTCTCAATATCCTTATTGCCAATTCAATCGTCCGGTGCAGAATTTTGTGCTGCAATAACCCACAATTTTTTCGTCCCTAAATCTCCAGCAATCTCTCTGATTTCAAGGTATCTGTTCACTGTTCGCTTTCAAGGTATCTGTTCACTGTTCGCTTTTTACTATATGAGCTCTTGTAATCAATACTAAGCAAGTCGAATTTAATCCCTTGGTCAAACAAGAAAATTCCTTTGAGGTCTTCGAATTCGCTAGTGTAAAACACTAGTTTTTTTCAACGCAACAGTATTTCTCCTTGAGGAGTCTCTGCACTTAAAGCATCTCCTTGATCACATCTGCACTTAACCTTTATACTCGGTTCGCTCTATAAGCTGAAGTGCCGCCGTTTCACGTGCCTGAGTATACGCGGCAGTTCCCGCAAATATTAGCTTCGGATTCGCGTCATTTCTCGCTTGGTATATAAGTATTTTAGTCCGCTGATTAACCTTTGGATTTTAACCTTCTCAAGATGGTCACTAGATAAGAACCCAATAGTCAAATTCGGAAGCAAATTGCTGAAAAAAATCAATGGACTTTTGATTACGATTCTCCAACTCCATCTGGTACATTTGCTTCTGGTACTCACTACCATAACGTGCTTCTGCGGCTCGCATGAACGGCTCACAACTATCCATCCCGTAATCGGAAAATATCTGCAAAATTTCAGCTCCAGATCTCTTCAACGCAACGAATAAGGCAGCGGATTTTTCTCCAGTAAACCAGTTATTTGCTGTAGCTGTCTTTTCGAACTGGAACTTAAAGACCTGGAAAGCAATTCTGCTGTCAAATGATGGTGTTTTGGTCCTGTGAGCGTTCGTCGATGACCTTTTCCTCGATATTATCTTGTCGTTCTTTAGTTCTCTCCTGCCTCTCTAATTTTGTGCAGTCCTTGACCAAATTATCTTGAAGCTGTATAAAGTGGGATGAAATCTTCAATGACATCTCGAAAAAACGAGCATCCTGTACTTTAAACTTTTGTGAATAAAATGCATCTTGTGCGTCCATCTTTTGCGATATGAAGCAATGAAGATACGCATTTGACTAAAATTGCAATAATTTTTACTCATATGGGTGGTATGGTAAAAATTACAAATATTCCACTGTCTCCCCAATGTCTTGTAATTCGCTGTTAGTCAGCGTTGAAATAGTCTCATAGTCTGGATTCCAAAAAATCTTATATGCGGTTCGATATTCTTGACGTTTTCTGCGTAAGCAGCTTTTTGGTTAAATGAACAGAAAAACACTCTTTTTTTCTTTCCGGGAAGTGGACTTGGTACCGATGTTGCTAAGAAAATCTTATTTAAGATTCGTTTTTTTTTTTTTGAAATTTTACCCTTTGCCTTTGACTTAAATAAACATGAACATTATTTTTTCTTCCGTGAATATCAATACATCTTCTAAAATACTTTAGTTTCTACTAACAAAATAACTTTTTCTTCGAATATTACATAAGAAACTAAAAAAAAATAAGAAAATTAGTTTCTTTTTATACACGCGTCATCTCGCTCAATAGGAAACGTTTCACTCAGGTTAAAATGCAAAATGTATTTGAAAATGTTTTCATTTCGAGTAGTCAGGTCCAATCTAGTAGGAAAATCGTATTTATGTTTCGATTCGTTTGAACTTTTGTCCAGATAATTGTTGTATTTTTCTTTCCTGAAACGTCTTAGTTACTAGTTTTAAGAGAAGGTTAGGCGGATTCCAAATCGTCAAAATACTTTGTAATGCAGCCCCGCATTCTATAAATTTGCCTTGAGACAATACTTTGCAAACTCTAACAAAACAACTACTTTTCGATAAAATGGCTAAAATATAAAACAGATTAAAAAAAAAGTATTGTTTAAAAAATAATTAGCGCAAAAAACTCCCCCTCTGACGTCGGCCGTTGCTGTTGAGAATTTATGACAAAAATTGTGCATCAATAACTATACCGATGCCTTTTGGAACATGATACATCGTCAAAACTGGCACAGTTGCATTTAGGAATGCGTGACAATGTATGGTTGCTTTGCAACCGACGTTTTGGAACTCACCTGTTTTTATTACTAATGCGCATAAAAAAAAGGGTGATGTGCCCATTTTGCCTGATCGCGTGTTGGCAAACCGTTTGTTTGTTTAATTTGTTTGTAATTTCGGCAGAAAACTAATCGACTACTATGAGTTATATACTCACATTCAAATTTGAGTTGTCTATTTCGTTATCACTTTGAATTCACAAGTGGAGTCGCCAATTCAACTGTAATTCTCTACGTGGAATTCATGTGGATCAAATAATGTAGTTTTTGTCCATATATTTGTGATGTATTTTGCCGTACATTTCGCAAGAAAATCATTAAGTTAAAAATAAATATTCGCACCTGCATTTCCCATATCGCTCATTCATTTTATAGGATACTATACAATTAATCAACACAGTACTAAGACATTGTAAATTATGCTAACAAATCAAGCTTTTAGTCATTTCCGACAATTTTCTCTTTTCATTCTCTTAATATTTTCGTTTGAATTTCAAAGCACTGTCTCAATGGTAACGTTCCCCCCTGCGGGTAAGGCGACTAAAATTCAATAGTTCCCGCGACAGTCGGGTCTTTATACCGGAACGACCCGGATTTTTATGCGGTCAAGGAGTGTCACTCCTGCAACATTCCCCAAAAAGTACTTTGGGGAATATTTTGCGGTTACAACAACAAAAAAAACGGTAACGTTGAAAATAATAATTCAATATAAACATTTACTACCATACTTATTTACAACAACTTCATAAGACTGATTAAAGAGGGAAATATCAGAAATGTGTAAGTATATATAAATAAACAATACAAATAACGCTGTATTAGAAAAGTATAAATAAACAATACATTTAACGACTTGAAAAAAGGTAAAAAGGTAATATATAGTTTAAAGCTTAAATCCTATGTATGAACACATTTTAATTCAACAATTATTGTTCATGATTTTTTTATCTTTTCATGGAAACCTTGAAATTTTAAACCCATGATTTGCTATGTTTCTCTACTTCTAAAAGAAAATATTATGCAAGTTTTACCTACTTTACTTGTTTTTAAATCTTGTTTATAATTTTATGCCAATTTAATTACCAATGCATATTTTTTTGTTTAAGGCAAATTAATATATGTCTAAGTTCAGGGAAATATTTATATAAAAAGAGTAGTGCAGATAATAGAAAAGCAATGAACAAATTAGCCAACCATACTATGTTCAAACTTAGCTAGAGTGTGGAAACATACAAAACAACTTAATACTAAATGTATATTCACCCTTTACGTCGTCATCTTCTAAAGTCGTACTCGAGGAGTCTGTTGACTCTTTAACTTGGGATCCTTCACCTTTCTTGGTGATCATACTCCTACCTGAAAAAATCTATATTTAGAATTATTGCTAACAAAGAAATTTATTATGTATTAAAAATTTTAATTTTTTACGCCAGTAGTCATTATTAGCGTAAGATTAACATTAATTTTCCTTAAAACTACATTTTTCTAAGTTCGAAGTTATTGTAACATTGTTACATGAGTTTCACACAATTTTGCTGGAAGATGTCATGCTCAATAACGGTGGGATAATTTTCGGAGGCATGCAAATAGATAGTTCGTGTCGTACGGGGTCTCGTTACATACGTTAGGTATGTCAACGTCGAGTCTGGGTGAGTACGAGTTTAACCTGCGTCAATATCCAGATCTAATTTTCCCTAGTATTACACAAAACTCTCAAGGTGTTTACTGCCTACTGGTGTTAAGTGCTTACGTGGGTAGTGGTTCTGCTTCTAATAAATGTTTGTTCGGGTGCTCCCCTCGGAAGCTTTGCCTGCACAGCAAAGTATCTTTGTTCTTATTTCGTAGCATAGATACCTCCCTGTGCAAGTGATGTTCTGGCGACACTAGAAGGTGTTCTATCGCGCTCCTTAGGGCGGTGTTTTGGCAGACCTGTAGCTTCTTAATATGTGTCTCGTTTATCCCCGGTGCCCAGATAGGTGCAGCATAGCTTACGAACGGCGGACCAATTAATTTGTACAATGCCAGTCAAGTTTCTTTATCTTTTTCCTAGGCTGCGAGCTAACGTTGTGAGGACTTTATTGCGGCTCCGGAGTTTTGCGGCGAATGCGGTCGTTTTCGGAGTGAAGGAAAACAGGCTGTCGAATGTCGTAACTTTGAGGCCGTCGAATTTCACATCGAGTTTGAGCCTGTATTCTTTCGTCCAGCTGGTGAAAAGGATAGCCAAGGACATTATGGGTGGAAGTTTTAGCTATCTTGCAGTGAAGAAGTAGGTTGGTCGTTGAGATAGCCATTTACTTTCAAACATATGGCGTCGATATCCTGGCCAGACGACTTTTTTAATCTTTCTAGGTTTCGATGTTTGACCTCGAAATTCTACCGATAATTAACGACTACTCAGGTAGACCATGATCCACCTCTTCCAACCCAGGGATAATTACGAGTCCTTAATGTCTAATAGCTGCACTGAATGGTTTACGGTGTCAAAAGCTTTAGACAGGTCGAGTGCTACCAGAGGAGTTCGAGCACAGGGCCGATTTCGGTTGAGACCATAAACTATCTGAGTGCTTATGGCGTTAAGTGCATTGATGGTACTGTGACCGAAAGCCATGCTGCTAGAGTCAGATGGGGTTCAAAGGCCAGGAGCAGCAAAGCCTCAAGTATCTTCGCTACTGGGGGAGGAAGGGCATCGGCCGATAGGACTCTTTTTTGGTTGCGGGTTTCCTCGGGTTGAGTTGGGGCACCACCCTATCTATTTTTCGCATATCCGGTATTTATAGGATGGTCAAAGACCAGTTGCGGAACCTGGTAAAGACATCTTCTCCCGCTGGTCCAAGATATTTTAGCATCAGCGGTCAGCAATGTTCACGAAAATCCTGCGGAATAAACGTTCGTGAATCCGAGCCAGTTAGCTTTTATGAAGTTGAGGAATATCCGGTGCTCCACCAGAACAAAGTTGGAAAGCCTGTCAATCGGGATTAATATGAGAAAATGGTTGATGATAATTTCAGCATAAGTCGCCAGGCTATGTGAGTAGTGGCAAATACCCACAATTCTGGTGGGAACGTCGTCGTTCATGGTCAGCTCCATCTCTCCACAGTCATTTGATAGGTTAAAATGCCAAAGACCATGATGCACGTTGAAGTCGCCTAAGGCCTAACGATTTTCGCCTCCGATTAGTGCGCCCATGTCAGACTACATCCAGCTTGAGCAAATTGTAACTGGAAGTATGTATATACTATATATTTCGAACTCGATAACCCCTGTCGATGAGACCAAACTGCACAATTATGTACAGCCTGCACTCGCGATACTTGCAGATGCTGTATCCAGCCCGGCTGAAAAGATTTGATAGGGCGGTCAGCTTAGTCTCCTGGATCGCAGCAATTCGCAAGTCTTTCCGGCTAATAAAGGCGACTATCGGAACGTTCGTAATACGAGTGGTGAGGGAGTGATGAGTGGGTGTAGTGTATTTCTGACGTAATATGGATTGGGCGTCGCACGTTGATGTTGGTTGCCGCGAATCCATAGGGTAACGTACGCACCACTCCACTCACGCCAGAGCACGTCGGAAAATGGCACCAGAATGAACTGAAGATGTCATCAGCCATTGCACTGGCTTAATTTAACCGAAATTTAGGAATGGTGGAGTCTCCTGTGGAAAACGCAACAGCCATAATCCGTCGGACCAGGAATCGCTGAAAGAGTGAAAGCTATTGGACAGATAACATATATATGTTCGAGCTTTTAAAAAATTCAGCATACAGATGTGCTTAAAACAGTAAAACATAAGAAAAGAAAATAAAAATATGTATATGTACATAAGAGGCTTCGTCACAGATAATTAACTAAAATTCAAGTTGACAAACTGAAACAAAAACTACAATACAAATTAATAATATATATTAATACTTGTACAATTAATACAATTTAATGATAATAAAAAAAATAATACAAGACTTAAAAACTTGCATTCTATTCTATTGAAAAACTTATAATCGAAAGGGAACAGAAAAAAACATATTGTTACGATTTTACTAAATCAACCTCGATTATTTTCTAGATCCTTCGGGTACGATCTCTGGATTGTTAAATAAAAACTCGCCAATTCAATTTGCAGTATCTTTCGCTATAAAGATTTTATCTAATGTCCTTTATTTACTCCGTAATTCACAATTCAATTCTAATGCACTTTACTATTTACAATCACTAGTATCAACTTTCACAATTTACTCTACTTAAATCTAATCTCCAACGCGTTTACTTTACGACTTCACTGATGTTAACGCCAACCTATTTGGCGAAACCTAAGCGCTTCTCTTTGTTGACTGGCGATATGAGGGGGTTCTTCCGTGCAGGAAGGGCATGAAGGTGGTTCTTTTTTTAAATTTTGCGTATGGAACATTATGTAGCTCTTTATTAAACTTCTGCTTAATATCCTGTCCAATTTGCTGTTAATCCGTTAAATCCGCCTCACCGTCTTCAAAACATCCCGTTTTTCACGATCGGTCAATTTTGGCGGCCTTCCCGAGCGCGATTTTGACTCAACGGAGCCGGTTGAATTAAAATTTTCGAGCACCCTTTGTACGGAGGAGTGGGCTTTGCATACAATATTTCCAATTTTTCGCAACGATTTCCCTTCATTACGAAGCTTAACAATGACTTTCTTCAAATCGGGGTCACTTTCTTTTTCCTTCCTGCCCATTGCGATCCTTTTTTATAGCATGAATTTACTAAAACAACGATCATCAAAAAGTTTCTAATGCTTTTATCACCGTTAATTCTGATCTAACGGAACCAAAATCGTAACAAGCTTCTTCACTTAAAGTTTGTACGCATACTTTTTCTTGTGGTAAACCATATGAATTTTTACTCTTTTATTTTTATTAGTATAAGTTATATTTTAAAAACTAAGAAAACTTATGACCATCAATAGTAATAAATGAGTTTATAATATAAAAATAAACCAAGTCAATATCTTTAATTCAACCATACTTTTTTTGCCATCAAAGTTATGCGTTGATTGTGTACGCATAGTTTTTCTGGCGAGTGTATACACAAACGAAAAACAAAATTACAACAAAGACTACCAAGTATATACATATCGCGGATCGGTGTTGAAAAAAGGAACAGGAGCTTGCAGCAAGGTCACAACAACAACAACTACAAAAACAACAAAACATCGCTAACCGGAAACTCAGAAGCAGGGTTTGGGAAACAGCGCTGGCGCTAAGTTTATATGAGCTCCTCCTCCTGCGTCTTGATATTTTCCCAACACATGTAGAGACCTACAGTTTATACCAAGCCACCTCTGAACGGCTGTTGGTTTTTTATGAGGAGCTCCATTTCATCTCAGAAACACTCGGTGGCGTTGAAAATTTAGCTTAATCTCATATTTAAATTAGTTTTCAATAACATTTCGGATGTTAGTACGATACCAGGATTTGAACACGAGCCTTCCTAATAGCAGTACACAATGCTGGCCACTCGGCTACCGTGGCGGCAGTAAGATTGCTTTATATGCCGGCTTGCTGACTTGTTGAACACAAGAACAACACATTCAAATCTTCAAGCATACATTTACATATATGCAAAAGCAGAAATGCAAAAAATCTTCCCGCGATATTTTTGTACGTTGTAATACTTTGTATATGTATATATGTATGCGACTATCTTTCGTTTTCTCAACAAAACTAAAAATCTCCAAGTTTCCAAAGTAAACCTGTTTTTTTATATAACAAGAAATTCGGTAACGTGATCTTGAAGATTGTTCACCTAAACTTCAAATTTGAGCATTTGCAAATTAAGCATATTTACATATATTCATGCACATAAACTGCATCCCAGCCCAGCAATAAGCACTTCCGGGTCACTGTATATAAAAGTAAAAAGAACTTCCTGCAGTTCTCTGAGTCTATCTGCAACATGTTTTAAAAACTAGAATTATAAATTAAAATATTAAAAAAAAATTACATAACGCTGAAAGATGTTGTTGTTGTTGTAGCTGAAAGATCAAAACCCTCGGCTAAGTATGTCCTTCGAGGTACTCCCAAAGAAATCTCCAACTCAGCTTAAGACACGACCCCCCACTAATGCTGCATCACCCCATGTTGCAGCTTAAATCAAATGGAGCATCAAGCTTCAAGCCTCAAAATTCAAACCACATTACCAGCGTGCGGAAATATTTGATACAACTAATGATGGCTTAATAAGATATAATGCAAAGAAGATATTGCTGAACAGCTAAAGCTATTTAGAAAATAAATGAAACCTAGACACAAAATAGTTGAACAACAAAAAGTATATCTCCATTTCGCCATGTGACACCACTGAAATCTTATGGTGGATACGATGAGTGG